ACGAAGAGCAGATGATGGACGGGGATCACCAAGAGCAGGTGATGGACGAGGATCACGAAGAGCAGGTGAAGGACGGGGATCACGAAGGGTTGGTGATGGACGGGGATCACGAAGAGCAGGTGATGGACGGGGATCACGAAGAGCAGGGGATGGACGGGGATCACGAAGAGCAGCTGATGGACGGGGATCAGGTATAGTACTACCACTACCACCTGCTGTAGCTAGCTCTGGTCCACAGAAAAATGTAGGAGCATTTTCAGCTTCAGAGATTACCACACTGTCGAGATAACGTTGATAGGCTAATAAGATTGACTGTCCAATTGATTGTGGATCCACTACTTGAGCTGATGGCATCCCAGATTGTGGAGTTTCTGCTACTGCAACAAAATAGATAAGGCAGAATGTAACTATAACTGTAAATTGGATCAAAGTTTGTTGTCACTAAATGCTTACAGCTAAAGAATTGTTCACTGGCCTTACTACTGAAGATCCATAATCTTACCAAAGTTGTCAGCGTTTGTCAAACAAGTATGGATAGGCTAGACTTAGATATGGATGTCACCGAGTTGTGTCTGTTCCCATAATCACTAACTTGAGATGTAACTAACTTCATCTTGATACTGAATCAACATCCCTCTAATTGAAGCTCTAGAACAAATTTTGAGCTATGCAAAGTTCATAAAGGAACTTTGCATAATGCATCAGTGACTTTTCAACGTTGCATGATGTCTAGTTTCTTAGTTATGGTGGAAGACAAAATCGAAGTTTTCATGGATGATTTTTCTGTTGTAGGAGACTTGTCTGATGATTGTTTGGCTCATCTAGATACTATATTAAAACGATGTGAAAATTCAATCTTATGCTAAATTACAGAAACTATCACTTCTGTCTAAAGGTGTTTGAGATATTGAAAGAGAAGCTAATTTTTTTTACCTATCATCATTTCATTGGATCGGGGACTCTAAATGCTTCTCAAAGAAAATGCACAGTGACTGAATAAAAATTAGTTATTGTAGTCTTCACGTTGGTAGAAATTTAGATCCTATTTGTTTGGCACCAAAGTTATTGTGCATAGTGATGAGTCTAAGCTAAGACTGATTTATTGGGTACTATTATGACAATAATTTGATTTGGATTCAAGGCATTCCCCTGATGTCATTCAATCTTGAAATCCAAAGAGTTGTGAGCATCAAAATCTAACAGAGAATGCAGAATGATGCACAACTACAGGTTTGATCGTAATATTATAGAGACGTCAGGTGTCATTTTGTTGCCTACACTTTCAGTTGGAACAGAGTTTGACGTTGTCATTAGAAGCTTAACACAAATGCTTATTGTAGCAAAAGGATTGTTCGTTGGTCTGCCATCTGAACACTTATATCCCTATCTTAGCAAAGATGTCTCAGAGTAGTGCGGATAGGCCAGACTTTGATATGGATGTCATCGGGTTGTGTCTGTTCCCATTATCACTAAATGGATATGCAAAGGAGGATCCTAAAGCTTTCATAATTCTAATGTACAAATGGCGTATTACGTTTTGCTAAAGCTCTATGTGATTTTGGTAATTCAATGCCTTTATCAATGTTTAGAAATTGACTGCAACGTGGCTATTGCATAAATATGTGTTTCTAGGTCAAAACAATAACTTTTTTAATTCATCATTGTTGTAGATTTAACCCAAGGGCATGTAGTAGAGTCTTGGACATCTATATATATTATTCAAGCAAAGCTCTAAATGTTTCTCAAAGAAGCTATATAGTGATTCAACAAGAATTGCTTCTTGAAAAATTTACATGGCATCAAAGTCATGGTTCACACTGATCATGTGGAATTAAGGTATCTTATGGCATAGAAAGAAGCTAAGGCAAAAATAATTTACTGTTGCAAGAATTTGATTTGGAGGATAGAGAAAGAAAAAAAATAGATTTTAGATTTTTACTGAGGTATCTTTTAATTTTTTTATTGTGTATTCTAAAATTTTCAAACAATAGTAATATCTAATTAATTACTTTGAATTTAAAATGCATGATAAAAAATAAATAAAGAATGTACTATATTCAAATCAAGTAAAAAGAACAAATGGAATCTCAAAATATACCATAGATGATTTGGATTGTAGGAGAAAAAAAGTGCACAACTACAAACTTAAAAAGTGAGAAAAATGAACAGGGTGGAGCAGGGCTAAATAGGGTAGGGTAGGACAAGTTAAAAAAATAGAAAAAAAGAAGCAAATGGGACAGGATTAGAAGATGGTTCAATGGTTAAGAGGGGTTCAAAGTTATCTTTATATTTCAAGTATCAATTTTAGAAACTACATTTACAAGTTTTCAAACCTCCTTAATAGAAATTCTAAATCAATCATTGATTTATATGTTACAAAAAAAAATTATTATTTCGACTTAATTGAACTTAGTTTCTCTACTGTTTCCAAAGTTTATAAAGATCTAACACATTCTACAAAATATATCACCACCTAACTTTCAATGAATTTCTCTTTTTAAAATCTCATCAGTTATTAATTTACAATCGAAACTATTCCAAATGTCGAAATGTAGTTCTCTATGACTAAAAAATGAAAATTGATTTTTGAATTTCATAATCTCTAGTGATTTAAGTGATAATTACAATCAATCTCAAAGCAACATAGACGATTATAAAGAAAAAATTCATTTTACCTCCTAACAAAATATAAGCTATAAAAAAAAGCACAAAATTTGTCCATACCATATTCAAGATGCGGTTGATTGAGCAATCCAACAGCTTGAGAGAGTTGTGGTTGATTGATCGATCCAGCAGATTCAGAAAGTTGCGGTTGATTATTCCAATAATCATCCTCCATCTTTCTTCTCTCTACAGTTAAACGAATAATTTTACAATAATTAAAAAAAAACATATTTGGTATAACAAGGAGAGAAAGGGGATAAAGTAGAAACCTTAGAAGAAAACCCTAGCTCTTCGTGAAGGAACCGGACTTTTGACGGACCTGCTCTTTTTTATGCGCCGATTTACCGTGAAAGAAAACTGAGAGGACAACTAAAGGCCTCTAGATTTGTAAAAAGAAATTTGGGGGAGAAGCTTTGGTTTTATCGTTCTATATCCGGTGTGCATCGGGTCGGGTATATCATTAGTACAATAGTACATTTAATGATTCGGGTCGGGTATATCATTAGTACAATAGTACATCTAATGATTATCACACACATAAATCGATTAAAAATCTCAACATATTTTTCTTTTTTACAAGTACGCTATACTTTAACTTTTATTTGAAGTTAGATTAAATTAGATCAATTTGAAAAAATTAGATATTCATAAATTGTATATGAAAAGTATAAAAAGTTGTTAATTGTTTAAAGTCAAATATTTAAATAATATTGATCAAAATTTATAAAATTTGGATCTCGTAAAGCAAAATGTATCACTTGAATCAGGAAAAAAAATAGATTTTATACTCTTTTTGGTCATTCAAAATATTTATAAAATTATGTTTAATTAGGGTACAACAAGAAGTACAATGTTTGAAATACAGTATTATACAAGCTCGTATACTTAATTGAATTATTAGTATGATCGTCACGCAAAATGATCAGGGATTAATGTCACGATTCAAATCGTCGACATCCACACTAATCCCCTGATGAGAGAACCATTAATACTAATCAGCTAACCCAAGAACTAAATATTTAAAGATACGGAAGCAGATTTAAATGTCTAAAGGAAAGGAAAAATAAGGAGTTCCCATAAACTTCATAAGTCTAACAAACAAATGTGAAAATATGTCTAGAACCTGAAAGTTCATGTACCGAAACATCTAAAGTTCAATATGTCTAAGAAAATGGGTGCAAACCCAACTAGACATAAGAATATCTAAAGTACTAGTCTAAGTCCGAATGAAATAGACTAAACATAACGAGAACTTATGGAAGCCTGGAAGAACTGGCTCACCCTTGAATTCAATCTTGATCACTGGCCTTTTAAATGAAGTTTGCCAATAGTCATATAAAGATACCATGTACTCAACAAAAAAAGAGCAAGTGCAGTATAAGTACACAACCACAGTTTACTAGTAAGTTTACACAACTTTCCCAATAAGTGAAGCATATGCAAGTAACCACAACAAAATAAAACGAGCATATACCAAATATATACAATATCAGTCATCATTCCAGGATCAATGACCAATTTCACATTCTAAACTACATCTTTATAACAAGTCAATGGTCCTCTCATGTAACCTATACTCAAACTGTAAGTGTACCGATACGTGTGGTATCCAATCCAAGTTAGTGTGTCGTACGTGACACCCGATTCTATATATGTGTCGGAACGTGACACCAAATCTAAGTTAGTCTCTTGGAACAGAACACTGGATCAATTTCAACTAGCCACAATCACAATGTACATTCTCATAATCATACAATCAAGTGTTGATTCATGACATACAATTATTCATTCATACTCATTTACGAATAGTATGATCAATATTGTAATACTTTCGCATTCATATATACATTAAATGAAGTAATTACTAACATACGTCACACTAATATGAAATCACAACTACACCTACCTCAAACAAAGCTTGAACCCTCCTAAGAAACTTGATTCTTTCCTTTTTGAATTATTTTCGCTTGCTATAGATCTTCAGACAAACAATTAAGTACGGAGATCACTAATCAAGGTCTAATTTATCCAGATTATGATCAAAATTATCAATTCTAGGCCAAACTCATGATCCTAATATGCATGTAGGGTTTTCCCCACCATCTAAAACAATGTCAAAGCCCTCCCCAACAATAATTACTCCTGAATTTATATTCTACTGATCGAAAAAATGTGTTCGGAGAGTAAAACCTTACCTTTAGCCTAAAGAATGGTGAAAAATTGTCAAGAAGTCTCTCTGGTTTGTCTCGTGACTCTTAAGAACAAAATTTGCAAAATAATGACATTTCTTGGGTTTATTTTCGACTGAAGTCGTGATTGGCCTGCTGTGGTGATCACTATCCTGCCATAGCAACCCCGCATTTCACAACATACCTTCAACTCATATACTCATAAACTACCGTTTCACGCTACAGTCTGGGAGTTCTTCTCGTCCGAATTTCATTCCGTAAAATCGTACAGGTTCCTTAGCGTCTTATCTATCCATTCATGCGATCAAATTCATTATTAGATCACTCATTTCTCATCGGATTTTCCTAGACCTCACTGACTTCGATTTCGTTGAAATCTGGACTAGGTTAGAAAATTTCAAGTTACTATGAAAAAGTTTTCTGACCCAAATAATTTCTCCGTTGACTTTTCTATTATGACGAGAATATGTCGTTACAATTAATAATAGTGTAGTAACATGAGAAAGGATTGCTACAAATATAGGATCATGGATATGAATAAGGAAAACGATTATGTAACTAGAAAATAGATTTTTACTTTATCAGCATCAGAGCTGCTCTAATAAATAGTGATAATGGATAAAAACAAAGTAATAGATTCAGAATATAATTCATAGAGAGTCCATATTTTATTTACCATCTCATTTTACTTTTTGTATATTTAGATTGATGGCGGCTGACTAAATATGTATAGCATCTCATAGTTTTAATAAAGATCCAATGAATTTCTAATAAGAATAAGAATACTAATATTTTTCTATATAGTGCAAACAAACAAGTCACAATTTTAATAATTTAAATAGAGATTATTTTAAACAATTCATGTATATCAGACCTTGTAATATGATTTGCTTGTAATTGCTCGACTCTTTTAGCTTGTTTCTTGTATCCTCTGATTTTTAAATGTATAATGTAGTTTGTAGATGTGTGTATCTGAATTTTTTTAAATATGTTTTAGAATTTGACAATTTTTGAAGTTGTTTATGATTTTTTTATTTTTTGGATCGTATCAGTGTATCCAATAAAATGATATGCTACATAGCGTCGATCGACTTTCTCTAAAATATTGTATTTAGCAAAAATGAGAAAGTATTAATATAACTAGGTTGATCAAATAGATACGATGTATCCAACTACATGGAGAGAACAAAATACAATAAACTTGGGACGAACAAATACAACAAAATTACCATGTAAATGATACAACATGAACTGGAGAAGATTATATCTGAAATATAGACGCAAATTTTGAAAAGTTATATGTGAGAGATTATCATGTGTTATAATTATCAAAAATATCATTATATATAATAAATCAATAGCAAAGTAATCTATTTGTGAAAAATTCTCATACTAAAATTCAAATTATGTGAACTTATTATAAAAGAAAAAGTAAATTACGCGAATTAGCTAACATCACTAGTGTATTATTCAATATAGTTTCATATAAATTATGGATTGCGGCTACAACTTAAAGAAATTTGCTATGAAGAATAGCATGTATTTGTATAAACGATATTTGTATATATTAATTAGTATACATTTCTATATTTATATATGTATTAACAATTTTATTATTATATCGTGTATACCTATACTTACTTAATTTGTGTATATATAGACTTCCATTTCTAGTTTTTGGATCTGTCTTTTTTTCTAAAATTTTGGCTATATATATTTTTTTGGTATACCCAAAATACTTTATAAGAATCAATTGTATAATTTTAAGGTCAGTTTAGTTATATAATTTTTATATTATAATTTTACTGGTTAGGGATAACCTGTGTTGTGCACGTGTCCAATAACATTAATTAAATATTTATAATTTATTTTTAGTTACACTTAGGCCACATTTGTTTTCATTAAGATTAAGATATTTGAATCTAAATAAATGTTTGAATATTAAGATTTGCATTAAAATTTAAGTATTTTGATCTGAATACACATCTGAATATTAAGATGTGATTTCTAAATCTCAACACTAAATAATAATGTTATTCGTTTTCAATATCTGAATGTGCAAGTGAAATTGAATATTATATTAATAAAATATTATAAAAAATTTCATTTCAACAAAATATATCACTTTTGATTTAAAAAAATTGAAAATTTTTAATAATCATGATTTAAAGTACTATTTTTTCATTCAAAAACCTTGATAAACAACAAGACACCAAAAATATTATTACAACAGTGTTCTTGACACACGTCAATACAAGAATATTATTAATATTAAAAAATACTTGAAAGAATTTATGAAAACTTACCAGTTCAAGAGGGGGAAATGGTGTTTGATAGAGAAAAGAGAGAAAAAAAGTTTTAGTTATGAAATAAAAAGGCACGCCCAAAGCAGAGAAGCGATGATTTATTATTGGATAATTTATAAAATGAGTCTGAATATTGTTAAGAGTCTCCTACAGATCTTCTTCGTTCAGATCTATACAGACCCATTAAGAAATTTTTTAAATAATAAAACAAATGAACTTAATGGGTTGAATCTGAATCATTCAGATTCAAACCTAAATCAAACGTACTTAATGGGTTGAACCTGAATGATTAAGATTCAGACCTCCATTAACTGTAAACAAATGAGGTCGTACTCATAATACTTTGTAAATAATAATAATAATAATAATAATAATAATAATAATAAGAGAAAGACAAAAATTTCTTTAAACTATGTGAAAGGAACAAAAATGTCCTTAGTTTGGTTGCCCTTACCGTCAACACTTTGACTCAAAAATATTCTTACAATACAAAATGGGTCAAAAACGTCCTTTTCCGAATATATATATATATATATATATATATTCTTTTAAACTACATTGTTTTTCTTAATTAATATATATATATATATATATATATATATTCTTTTTTAAACACATGTTTTTCATAATTAAAATATTATTAAAGAAAACTATTCTTGTTTTATTTCTTCTAAAATTACTTTAACAAATAAAAATGTAAGAAATATTTTTTTCTTCTTAATCTCAATTTATCAATTGAAATAAAATAACTTCATGTACCCTTTTGACGGATAATATATGTCATACATATACAATATTCATCATTAATTTATATTTATATAACGATAAAAAATAGTGATAGTGAAATAAGAGATATTTTCATTTTTTATTATTTTTTTCT